CCCCCCCCCGCCCTACCCCATATGGTAATCTCTTATCTTTGGTCCCCCTTGCGCCTTGAACAATTCGCACTGTTTCGCTGCTCGCAGTGCTAAAATTATTAAAAATCAAGCCAAAATACCAGAGTTCCATTCATACCTCAAGCTAAAAAGCTCTGGCGTCAATCATCCGGTCGTAAGCAAAGGTCGATCCACCAATCATACCGCCGATCCAAGTACGTACACGTCGATGGATGAAGTTGGAGGATGGCAGGATGGCAGACGCAGCCCCGCACAGCCACATGACACAAGTTCGCATCGCTGCAACATCGTGATTCGTTCTCAAAAAGATTGATATTACTCTCAAAAAATACAAGATTAATTTCGCATCTATCCAGCCGATATCGATACCCGAGCGACCAACTAACTATGTAAACTAACTAACTAACTAACTAACTAGCGAACTAGGCTAAGTAGAAAAGAGGCAGACCGCGATGTAGTATGCGAGCGGCATCGAGGGAAGAAGAATGATGAGGAAGATGAGAATGAGAATGAGGATGAGGAACAGAGAGAGAGGAGAGGCAGAGGCAGAGGCAGAGGCAGAACACAACGACGAACGGACGAACGGACAGCAAGCATCGATCACGGAAACAGTGCAGTGTATGTATGTACGTACGCGAGGAAAACAGCGGGAGAACCGGGATGGATGGTGGATGGTTGGGCGGACGGGAGATGGATGGATGGATGCGTGGTTGTGATTCTTGTGTGTTTGTCTTCTTTCTTGGATTAGGATTAGGTAGCAACAGCTGCAGCGCGCCAAGAATCCGAGCCGCAAGTGCGCCCGCTCGCCCGGCCCTCCCTTCCCCTCCCCGCCCCGCCTTCGTCCCCTCACCTCACCTCCCACCCACCCCCACCCTACCGATCCCGCTCCCGCTCCCGATCCCCCAGCACCACCGCCGCCATCGCCCTCGCATTCACATGCACATGCTTCGCCCTCTCCCCCACCTCCCAACACACCTCCACCCCCTGCATCCACGCGCAGCCCAGCACCTCCTCGATGCCGCACCGCAGCTTCGGGTCCGGCTCGAGCATCTTGCGGATGAGCGGCCGGCACGCGCGCGGGGAGAGGTTGCTGATCGTCGGCGGGAAGACGAGCGCGCTGCTCGTGTGGTTGCGGTCGCGGTCCGGCGCGGCGGCGGGCGCAGGGGCGGGCGCGGCCGTGGCGGTGGGGGTGCCGTTGGCCGGCGCGGCGCTGGGGTTACTTGACGCGCCGTTGGTGGCGGGCGCGGGCGCGGGCGCAGGTGGGGGGGCAGCGGCGAGTGGCGGCGGGGGCGTGGCAGCGGCGGCTGCAGCGTACGCGGCGTACAGCTGGTCCGACTGCTGCGCCGCGCGCCACGGCAGCTCCTGGAAGTGCAGGCAGTAGTACACGATCCCGCACGCCCAGATGTCTACCAGCCGTGCGTCGTATGCTGTGTCGCGTCGTGTTAGCCTGTGACGAGAGAGGGAGGAGGAGGAGGGAGACGCACGTTTGCCCAAGAACTGTTCCGGCGCGATGTAGGGCTCGCTCCCGCAGAGGCCTGTCGACATGTGGATCGTCGCTTCCCACGGGAGGCGGTAGACGGTCGAGGCGCCGTAGTCGCCGATCTGCGGTGGAGGTGTTAGCGCGTGAAGGGAGGGGGGGGGGGGGAGGGAGGGGGAGGAGGGGGAGGGGGGGAGGTATTAACGCGTGAAGGCAGGAGAAACGCAGCGAGAAAAAAGAAACACACCTTCAAATGCCCCCCCGTGTCGAAGAACAGGTTCTCCGGCTTGATGTCGCGGTGCGCGACGCCCTGGCTGTGGAGGTAGCCCACGCCGGAGAGGATCTGCTTGAAGCAGCATTCGACCTGGGTGCGAGGGAGGGGTGAGTGAGGGTTAAAGAGGAGGGGGGGGAGAGGGAGGGGGAGGGGAGGGGAGAGAGAGGATGGATGGATGGGGAGGGAGGGAAGGGGGAGGCGGAGGAGGGTGAGGAGGAAGAGGGGGAAATGGGAAGGATGGATGGAGAGGAAGGCGGGGAAGTGGGGGAAGGTGGAGAGGAGGAGAGGGCGGGCCAGGGGGTGAGGATGGAAGGTGGAGAGGAAGGGAGGGAGGAAGGGAGGGGAGATGGGTAAGTTACAAGCGGGAAGTTGGAAGGGGGAGGGGGAGGGGGAGGGGGGGTGTTTTCGGGTAAGAAGTGGGGAGGGGGGTGGAGAAGTTGCAAGCGGGAAGCGGGTAGTTGGAAGTAGGGCAATGTAACAAGGGGGAACGGAAAAGGCATGGGCATCGAGCAGCGCCGTACCGGCACGCGCGCTGGTCCCCCCCCCCTCCCCACCCCAAAAAAAAACTGAAAGCCAAAAAGTGAGGACCCAACGCACCTCGCTCGGCGACATCCCCCCCTTCTTGATCGCGGCGTAGAGGTCCCCGCCGGGGCAGAACTGTGGGGTTGGTAACGTTAGCGTCGGCGTGAGCGCGTGCGCGGGTGTAGGATGGGAGGGAAAGAAAGGAGGAGGAAGGAAGAAAGAAAGAGATGAAGAAATAGAGGAAAGAGAAGGAGGAAGGAAGGAAGGAAGGAAGAAAGGAAGATGGAAATAAAGAAGAAGGAAGGAAGAAGAATAAGAGATAAACAGAGAGAGAGAGAGAGAGAGCTGGGCGCGCCCGACGCCACGCCCGACACGCCGCCGGGTCCATGCATCACACCTCCGCAGCGCCCACCGCACACCCAGAATCCGCGGTCAGACTCGTTATCCGCCGTCGCCCGATTCCGCCTCCTCCTCCTCCTCCTCCAACGACAACGATGACGCCCACACCAAATCCCTGACGGAGACCTTCCGTCGTCCGTCTTCGTATCCGCTCCGCCACCGCCCATCTCCGACTCCGACGACCACACCCACACCCACCCACCCGCCCGCAGGCGAAAACCCCGCACGCACGGTCGTCCCCTCTTCTCTCTTGATCGTTTTTTTTTTTTTTTGGAGGGGGGTTCTCCTTCTCCTTCCGTTTCCCCATCTTTTGTTTGTTTTGCTTCCGCGCCGTCCGCACCCTCCGCTGTGATGTGACGAGGGTGCCGAGGTGTGGTGGTGGCATGGCGTAGTGGTGGCGCGGCGCGGCGCGGCGGATCTCACGCATCCGTCCCAATGGCGCATCCCCGGATGACGCACGTCCACTGGAGGGGGGAGGGAGGATTCGCCGGGCGCGGATGCGGATACGGATGGGCGCAAGAGGCAGAACAGAGCCACGAAAGCTGCTGCGATGGATGACGCAGACGTAGACGTAGAGGACGACGCACGTCCACTGGAGGGGGGAGGGGGGATTCGCCGGAGTGGGTGCGGATGCGGATGGGTGCGGAGTCTCGACGGAAAACGGAAAACGGAAAACGGGGCGCGGGGCGGGGATGACGCTGCGCCCGACGCACCCAGCGTGGCGCTCCGACAGCCCCCCCCCCCAAAAAAAAAGGCAAGGAAGAGTAGAGTAGAAAATCGCGCAACGAAACCCGAACGCGCGAAACCAACGCGCAACGAATACCCGACGCGCAACGAAAAAAAAAAAAAACCGGCGCGCAACGAAGAAAAAAGAGCAAGCGCGAAAAAACGCACCTCCATAACCTCACACCACCTCCCCTGCTCGTCCTGCACGAGGTCGACGGTCTCGACGATGTTGATGTGGTGGAGGGTCGAGCTGCGCGAACGTCAGTGAGTGCTCCGCGGGTGAGGGATACGAGGGGAATGCGAAGGAAGAAAGGCACCTGATGCAAAACTCTGCGGTGAGCTTCTTGACGTACTCCTTCTCCGTCTCTGTGCGGCGGCGTTTGCGGAATTCCTTGGGGTCGGGGTTATCATCGAATGATACGAAGGGGGAGAAAAAAGAAAGGCAGAGACCCGCACCTTGACAGCATACATCTTATCGCCCGCACTGCGGTCCCACTTGTGTGCGAGGCGGACGACGGAGGTGGCGCCCTTGCCGATGGCGACCTTTTGGCAGACGCCGTACTTTTTCGTGAGGGAGGCGGTGGAGTCGCCTGCGGCGGAGCCTTTGCCGGAGCGGGCTGTGTCGAATGAATGATAATTAGAATAGAGGATTGAGGGAGGAATGAGGAATAGAGAGCGCAACGCAACGCACCCTTCCCCCCCTCACTCTCGCTGTCCGCACTATGCCGCGAGCTCGCGCTCCGTGCACTGCTCCGCCGTGAGAGCTTCGGCCCGCTCGCGAGGAGGTCTTTGAGCGTGAACTTGTGCCCCTGGGACGGCGCCTGGGAGTGGTGCGAGGACGCCTCGGAGGCGACGGAGGCGGCGCGGGAGGGCGCGCGCGCGGCGGGGATGGCGGGGGTGCTCGGCGCGGATTGCGACGGCACGCGCGAGGGCGGGGCGGAGTGCGGGACACCGTTGGGGTGCGGGGTGGGATTCAAGTTGTTGCCGTTGGGGTGCGGAGTAGGGGCATGGGCGGAGGTGGACGCGGCGCGCTTGACGGTGGGGGTGGCGCTCAGCGTCTGGGTGGGGGTGTCGTTGTAGCTGTGCGTGCCGTTGGGGTCGGGGGTGGATTTGGATTGGGCTTCGGCTTCTGCGACCTGGGCGAGGAGGTCCTGGCGTGTGTAGCCCGGCTGCTTCTCGTACGTGGACGCCTCGGGCGGGGGCAGCGGCACACTCGGGGCTCGGGGCATCGGAGTCTGACTCGTCGTCGTTTCTTGACTTGTTCGGTCCAAGTACGAGTTCTAGTTGGTTTTCAAGGCGTTTACTCAGAGGGGTGGTGTAGGCATGGCTGGCAGTGGATGGATCTAGACTGGAGTAAGCAAGTCCACCGTCGTCGCCAACCGAGGTAAACACAACCCCCCAATAAGGCACCCGTGGCGTAATTCCCGCAATAAACACGCGGCGCGCTAACACCCGGCCCGGGGGCCCGCGATGGCGCGATGCGCACATGTCGGAATCAGTGTCGAAGAAGAAGAAAAGGTGTCTAGAAAAAAATTACGGACAAAAAATACACGGGACTCAAAAAGATATAGATACACCGTCTAGTGGCCTGACCCTGGTTCGAACAGGGAACTTCCTCAAAAACGATGCGGTGAGCAGCATAAGTGCGGAGGATGTGTTACAGCTACACCACCAGGCCTTGCCAGGAATTGACAGCTCTGCTATAGGTGGGTGCACTACGGGGTGTTGGATTATCAGGCCTATTTGCCGTACCCGTCGCGATCCGACAACTCCCATGCCTGCCGTGCCCGTCCCGTCGGATTTTCCACAGTGGCGTCGAGACAACCCGTGGAATGACGGCTATGACGCCCGTCGAACGTTGGTCGAACGAATTCTTTTCTTCCCGCGATGATAAGTGCATTTCTGCGCTCACAGCGGCCCTCGTAAGTAGATTAAAAGTCTTTATCACCAGTGGGTGACTTCCCGTAAGATTTAAATATTCCAGCGCAATTTCTGAGGGTGCCAGTGATACGATCAAAGAGAAAAGATATTCACGCTGTCTGGATTCCCGCAACTAAAATAATACATTAACTTCTTGATGAAGTGGAAAAATCAGCCATAGGAGCATCTGCTTGCACCAGGACTGTCTTGGAATTAAAACACCATAACCACGAGGAACAATGGTACTACAAAGAAGGCTCAAGAAGGATCACTCTGACTCAAAAATGATTTGGCATCAATTTTGAGGGGGAAAACAGTGAAAACGACCAGGGTTTGGGCGGGGATCGATGTAGGGTAATGAAGGTACAGCTATAACATTGAAGGGTCCGTTGTATACGAACGGTGAACTTGCAAGTGAGGACGGAGAGTTCGTGACGGGAGTGACAGAAGGTGACGATCAGTAATGTCATGCCTAAACGGGATATTCCACGATACGAAAGTCTATTCGAGGGGGGTGGACCCCCCGAATAGATTCAACATATCTCGAGTGATGGGAGAATAAATTGCAGTCGTTTTGGGGTGATACGATTGATGGGGTCCTGGCAGTTGACGTCGCATCACGTCGGCAAGTGTGAAAAATATTCCTGGGCAATATTTAATTCTTACGGGAAGTCACCCAGTTTCCAAATCCAATTTATCTCCAGTACTAAGAGAAGATAAATTGCCTCGGCCAAGTCTCGGCAACGCCCGAACCATGATGTGATGCCCGAGTTGAATCCCGATGGTCCACGCCGCCCCCGTTCATGGATGCTCAACCATTCACTCCTTCCTTCCTTCCTTCATCCACGAAATGAACACAAGTCTCCGAATGGGCAATATTACATACTCAAAACGCAGTCAGCGAGAATCTTCCAAAAAAATGATAAGCGAATTCAAGAAGTGGCCTGGCCCCGGGTCGAACGGGGGACTTCCTCAAGACAACAGCACCCAAAATCAGAGAAATGAAGAGGATGTGTTGCAGGACACCACCGGGCCATGCTGGGGACTGGAAACTCTGCTATAGGTATAGCCTGGTTGAATAACAATAGATGGTCTCGGTAAACCCGGCACCTCCCGATGGTGATGCTCGAGTTGAATCCCGTTGGTCCACGCCGCCGTTCATGTATGCATTCCGTCCTTCCTTCATTCACAAAATGAACACAAGTCTCCGAATGGGCAATACATACTCAAAAATAGAGTCAGCGAGAAATTTCCAAAAAAATGATAAGCGAATTCAAGAAGTGGCCTGGCCCCGGGTCGAACGGGGGACTTCCTCAAGACAACAGCGCCTAAAACCAGAGAAATGAAGAGGATATGTTGCAGTACACCACCAGGCCCAGCTGGGGACTGACAACTCTGCTATAGGTATAGCCTGGTTGAATAACGATAAATGGTGTCGGCAAAACCCGGCACCTCCCGAACCATGATGGCGGATTCAGATTCCGTTGGTGTTCAACGCCGCCGTTCATGGATGCTCAACCATTCGCTCCTTCCTTCCTTCATTCACAAAATGAACACAGGTCTCCTAAAAGAAAGGGAGTACACATATACTCGAAAATAAAATAGAATAAAAGTCAAAATTGCATCAACATGGCCTGGCCCCGGGTCGAACAGGGGAATTCCTCAGAAACAACCACGGAAACTGAAATACAAAGAGGATGTGTTGCAGTACACTATCAAGCCATGCCAGAAATTGGCAACTCTGCTATAGGTAGGCTGAATTATGCTTGGAGTCCGTGAACCCGGGTATGCGTGCACTCAATCTGATATCAAATCCGAGTCACAAATCAATCTTCAACGTAATCTAAAACCATTGGACCAGTTGTATATTTCCGGACAATGATTGAAGAGATGGGGGAAAAAATTCCGACACAATACAAGCAAAGTGGCCTGGCCCCGGTTCGAACGGGGAACCTCCTCGGATTCATATTGCTGATGCTGCCTTGCAAATGTGGAGGAAATGTTACATCTACACCACCAAGCCATAGTGGGTAGGTGCCCCGAATGATGATTGAAGAGATGATATGGAAAAAAATTCTCAATGCACATCAAGTGGCCAGGCCCCGGTTCGAACGGGGGAGTTCCTCATGAGAATTGCTAAGCAAGACAATAAACAGAGGATACGTTGCAATACACCACCAGACCTTCTTGACCTCTCCTACAAACTGACTTAGATGGTCACACTTGCCACGAGGATGGAAAAATTATGATCCAGTCATGCTATAATATGGTTGGGTTGGGTCCTTGTCCTTTGGCTCCCAGGCCTTCCAATTCTCTAGTTCCAATAAGTATATCTATGATCAAGTAAAAGAAAGAAACAAAAAAGATGTTGAGTCTGTTTCATTGGCGATGGCCTGACCCCGGTTTGAACGGGGAGCTTCCTCGGAATCTGTTTTCTTCTACGGAACTCTAGAGGATGTGTTGCTGTACACCACCAGGCCTTTCTGACCTCTCCAATGAACTAGTTTGCCTGGACACACAAGCCCAAGTTCTTGGTGTGACCATGGGAAACAAAAATGATCATGATTGGGCACGGGTACTTGGATTCCCAGGCCTTTGAATTTTCCAACAAGTATATAGAAGATCAAGTAAAAGAAATGATCAAAAATAAAACTTGTTGAGAAGATCACATCCATGTATGGCCTGGCCCCCGGATCGAACGGGCTCAGAATCAGAACCCAGTTTATAAAATTCTAGAGGATGTGTTGCAGTACACCATCCCTCTCCAACAGACTGGCTTAGATGTCGATATATCCTTGCTGTTAGCATGGAAAGGTTGAATTATATACAACTGCTACACCCCTTGTCTCCGACCACCACCAACGCACTTTCAATTCAACCGGACCCCTAGCCTGCTCGCTTCCTACTCGGAACTCCACCAACTCTGGAGTCCGGAGATTTCTCTTTATGCAGAATTACACCTGCATCCCTGCTGCCATTCCGGCTCTCATCGGTTCCCGCCTCGGGGGATTTCATTTCCGGATCTGATCTATGGCAACATACTTAGAGCAATCTGCTCGCTGATCCGGTGCAGCGATGCCGCCATCTGACCTGAACCTCTGAAAAGTCTCCTACCTAAAGAAAACAATGAGTACAACTCGTGGGTGATGCAAGAAAAATGACACCACAATTGCTGAATGGCCTGGCCCCAGTTCGAACGGGGAGCTTCATCAGACTGGAAACATACACCTTCAATATAGTCAGATGATGTGTTGCAATACACCACCAGGCGTTCTCAAACCACGTCTTCAACAGCCTAAATTATGTTGCATAGCTAGCGGAATTCAAACTCACGCCGGGAACTTTTCCGCACGTGATGGCACCGTCGCTGTTCGATGAGTATATTCGCGAAAAAAAATATGCTCAAGTGGTTGGATAAAGGAGTGGTTAGTGCCGTTTCTGTCACAGTGGTTGTATTTTGCCCGCGCAACCGGGTTCGACCCCCGCGGTGTCGTTTTTTTTTCTACGACTACGGGAAAGCCCCACGCAGTGGGCCTCCCCGGCGAGGGGATAGCTCCGCGCAGCGGGCCACCGCGGCGAGCGGTCAGCTCCGCGCAGCGGTCGGGGTCTGGGGCGGAAAGCCCCAGCCGTCCGGGCCGGCGCCCGCAACATCCCATTTACATAGTAAATAGCGGCGAAGTACAGGTCATTAAATCACGAAAAAATTCAGCAGTACAGAAAACTATATCAAATGTATTCCAATCACCTCAGACATGCCGTCAGGCAAGAGGAGGGGGGTCTGGGGGGAACACCGTTCCCCCCAGCGCAAATGTGACATGTGATGATCACGTGTGTCACAAGTTCCCGGCGCGGGTTCGGTCTCCATAGCTAGCTGCCATAAACTGCAAGTGCTTCAACAAACGCACGACACAAAATAAATGCTTGACTCGCTCAAACAGGTTCTTGGTAGTATATCCCCCTCCTCCCGATGGCATGAACTAAACCATTGATCAGAACAAAAAAAACCTGAATTCCAGTGCTGCTGGCTCAACTGCAACTTCAAATTAATTTTGACGTGAGAATACCTTTTGCCCGAGGGCCTGCACTGGTGCGATGCAGACTTGGCGGAAATCGGCCTTGTTCATATTCCGTGTGGAAGGCGTCGACCGAGTCCTGTTTAAAAAATCAAAATTTAGAATTGAAAAAAACCGAAGTTTATTGTGATGCCACCACCGTTCATGGACAAAAATCATGCTCAACCATTCGGACCTTCCTTCATTCACAAACAAATGAACACGAGTCTCCCAAAAAAGTGAGTTCACATGTACTCAGAAATAAAGCAAAAAGTAGAGCTATCAGACTATGGCCTGGCCCCGGGTCGAACGGGGGACTTCCTCGAAACTGTTTGGAATGCTGAGTGCCGCAACTCCAGAGGATGTGTTGCAGTACACCACCAGGCCCTGGTCGAGACCAACAACTCTGCTATAGGTAGGCTAGGTGCACCACCAATTGTTGGATGTACAACTGCATGTGCCCACACCCTTTGACCACCAACACACTTTGACTGGACCCCGGGCCTCAGGTTTCTCGCTAAATTCCCACTCGGAACTCTGCCAACTCCGGAGATTCCTCTTTACGCTGCATTACACCTGCATTCTTGCCATCGTTCCGGCTCTCATCGGTTCCCGCCTCGGGGGATTTCATTTCCGGATCTGATCTATGGCAACATACTTAGAGCAATCTGCTCGCTGATCCGGTGCAGCGGTCCCGCGGTCTGAC